TGCAGCTCATACAGACTCAGCTCCCACGTCTTGTTGGCGCTCTGGGCGCTCGCGGGGGCGGCCATGGCCCTGGGAGGGGGCCAAGGGGGGACGTTCCGTCACCTCGAGACCCCCCAAAACTCCCCCGGCACCCCCCAAAAACCCCTCTAAAACCCCGCCAAAAAAAACCCCGACCACCCCCCAAACAACTGTGACCCACCCCCAGACCCCCCAACTTCCCTCTGTGACCCCTCAGGACCCCCCCAAAACCCCTCCGGGAGCCCCAGACGCGCATCCCGATTCCCCGCACCCGCCGCTCCCGCGGGACGGCGCCGCTTCCGGGCTGGCGCCGCCTGATGACGTCACGGAGCCCAGTCAGCCAATGGGGAGGCGCTGCCACACTCGACCAATAACGGATTGAGGGCGTGGTTATGCTGGTGAGTGGGCGTGGATTGTGTTTTGGGGCGTGGTTTAGAGAAGACGAACCCTGGGGGCGTGGTCTGGGCAGCTCGAGGGGCGTGGTCTGTGCACAACTCCCGGTCCCTCCCAGTCCCTCCCCGTTCCTTCCCAGTCCTTCCCAATTCCCTCTCAATTCCCTCCCAGTCCTTCCCAGTTCCCTCCCAGTTAACTGCCAGTCCTTTCCAGTCCTTCCTAGTCCCTCTCAGTCCCTCTCAATTCCCTCCCAGACTCTCCCAATCCCTCCCAGTGCGTCCCACCGAGAATCAGAGCCAGGAATTCCTGCCGTTCCATATTAAAATATAAATTTATTTATTTGGAATCTTTTTTAAAAATCTCTCAGGAATAAAATCTAGGCGAGGGGAGGGGGGAAATTCGGGAATTCCCAGAGGGATTTGGAAATTTGGGAATTCCCGACTCCCACTCCCCCCGCTCCCTCCCGTGCTGGATCCGGGGGGGGAGGAGGTTTCTTGGGAGGGGGTTTTATCCCAGGAAACAGACGGGCCCCACCTGGAGCCGCCGGTCCTGGGAATTCCCAGGCAATTCCAGCTGGAAATCCTGGATCGGGAGCTGCTCTGGCCGCAGCTCCAGGAGCACCCGGGACTGTGGGAAAACGGGGAATGAGGGGGCCCCAACTCCATCCAGGGATATCCCAAATATATCCAGTGATATCCCAAATATATCCAGGAAAACCCAGATATATCCAGGGAAACTCCCAAATCCCCCCTTTTCCCTTTTCCCAGGATCTGAATTCCCCCAAATCCCGTTTACCACCCTCGGGATCCCTTTTTCCAACTTTTCCCACCCCATATGCCATTTCCCAACCCCCTGGAAGCCTCTTTTCCCACCCCCAATCCCATTTCCCATCCTCTGGAATCCCCCTTTTCCCTTTTCCCACCTCCCAGATCCCTTCTCCCACCTTTCTCTCCCCCCACCAATCCCATTCCCACCCCTCTGGCATTTCCCCTTTTCCCACCCCGCATCCGTCCAGCCGGGCCTTGGCGTGGGATCCGGACTGGGATGATCCCAGCTCTTCCTCGTTGGCTCCCAGGAACCGCAGCATTCCCTCATTCCTATCGCTATTCCCGTTATTCCCATCGCTATTCCCGGCGTTCCGGGGGCAGCGGATCCCAAAGCTCTGGTGGCCGGAGGTGCTGAGGAGCCTCAGGAACGTCACCTGCACCACCGGCAGCGGCCGCAGCTCCGAATCCCGGTAGGAAAACTGCGGGAAAAACACCAGGAAAATGGAATCAGCCCCGAGGAGGGGAAATGTGGCGATCGGGGCCGTTCCCGGGGCGATTCCTGAGGGATCCTCACCCGTTTTCCCGCCTGGGATTGGCTGAACCAGAGTGGAGTCAGAGACGCCTCCAGATCCAGTGGCACCTGGAAAAGGGGGGAGGGAAATCAGGGGGATCCCAGGATTTGGGGGTTGGGAATTTGAGGATCCCATAAATTGGGAATGGTAGGATCCCATTAATGGGGAATGTTGGGACCCCACTGACTGGGAATGTTGGGATCACATTCACCAGAATTTTCGGGATCTCACTTCCTGGGAATTCGGGAATGCCACTAATTGGGAACCCTCGGATCCCATTCCTTGGGAATACTGGAATCCCATCAACTGGAATCTTTGGGATCTCACTCTTTGGGAATTTGGGGGTCCTATCAACTGGAATTTTTTAGGATCACCTTCCTCAGGAACACCAGAATCCCATCAAACAGCATTTCTAGGATCTCACTCCTCGGGGGACTCAGGGACCCTCCCGACCCCCCCAAATTCCATCACCTCCCGGAATTCCGGGGCCGGGAAGACGCAGCTCTCGCCCCCAGCCGTGAAGTTGCAGAAGACCTTGAAGGAATCCCGGGAACAGCCCTGGTTGGGGTCGATCCAATATTCCCCTGCAGCGGGAAAACTGGGATCACACAACCCACACACAACACCCAGAGGGAGCCAAACCCCAGATTTTTGGGATAAAAAAGTTTTGGGATCTGAAACCCGTGGTTTCAGGGCAAACCTGTTTTTGGGATTAAAACCCTATTTTTTTGGGAGAAAAGCCCAATTTTTTGGGATCCAAACCCCCTTTTTTGGGAGCAAACTCCCTGGTTTGGCCTCCAAGATCTCATTTTTGGGAGCAAACCCCAATTTTTTTGTTCCAACCCCCAATTTTTTGGCTCCAAAACCCGTTTTTACCC